CAACTGCCACCCCCAAATTGCATCCCTAAAGGGTGCGAGTGGCTAAGCAAGGGGCAGGAGCCCTGCCATGCCCAGCAAGGAGGGGAGAGAAGAGACGGCAAGGGGAGCAACATCTCGCTCCATGTGTCTTGCTTCTCCCTGTCCCACCTCCCACCCCTCTTGGTAAAGAGATGGCATAGAAGGGAAGGAACCAGGCTGCTGTTGCCGGTGGGGTGGGGTGGGATGTGTCGGGCCGCTCGGCTGATGCGAAGAACAGGGAGGGAAGGGCATGTTACCCCCCTTCCTCGCCTCAACTAATTTTGGTTGTGCGGCAAGCAACCAAAGGAAATGGCGGGACCGGCTGCCCATGCATGTAAATAGGTGGGGGGGGGCTTATTTTGGCTTTTATTATTGCATGCACTGAAAAGCCCGATTGGGCTTATTATCCGGACATGTCTTATTTTCGGGGAAACACGGTAGTGAAACTAAAAACATATCATTTAAATAATTCTATTTTTCCAACTCATATGAGATAAGAGGTAGTAATATTTATAATCATACTTAAAATGAGATGTTCATTGTAGCAAACTGTAATTAGAACTAAATAAATCATAATTTATGGTTTAGCATTACTGACCCCAAAGTGGGCCACGTTATGATATTCTCTAGAATCTGATTGGACAAAAAAGTTTTCCTTTATGTAATTAGGGTGTTATTAATTTCTGTATTTGGGCAGGAGCTTTTAGTCACAGTTTATGAAATAAAATCTCTGAACAGCTAAGAACTAATTCAGCTGCGGATTCTCACCAATAATGTATTTCTGAAGGTTGAAACTTATCTCAAATTGCTGTATAAGTTATACCATTGATATTATCATTCTACTTAACCTTTGAAAATAAAGTAATTTCTGTTAAAATTAATTTGGCTAGGATTCAATAGAATATGTTGCACAACCATTTCTTCTTGGGTAAGACCTGAGTGATTGTAATTACATTGTTCAGTTTCTGGCTAATTACTGATAAAGTCTGAGAAAATATTGCTCTAAAAGTTTATTAGCCAGAGACAAAGTTATTAGAAACTTTCCTATATTAAATATATTATCATGCACAGCAATGGTCCAGTAAATGTTCTTAATTTCATCTGTCCAGGAAAAGCAAATAGAGCCCTAAGATCCTTTAGAATCAATCCTGAATATGAAAGTTTATACTAGACCAGAGTGGGGATTTCATCAGAGACAGGTTTTTTTTATGACAAGCATGCTTTTTATTCAGCTGACTGTTCATTGAAAATGACATTTCAATTTGGTAGATGACTCAGAAAGCCTTGTCACTGGGTTCAGCTTCTGAAGGAAATAATCCTATTCTGGACCTAGTTCTTCACACAATATGAATTGTTATACTAAAAGAAAGACTACAGAAAGACTATTTTCCTACGATTCAAGACTCGGTTCTTTTTCTTTTTCAACTGGCTATACAATTATATAAAAAAGGAGAAGCTTGTATTTCTGGCCCTAAGGGAGGCTGTTTCCTTTTAAAGAACTAAAGCTACGTTTTCATTAATTCTTGTGTACTTCTTTCAGAACATTAAAAGAACATATAAAATCCTCATATTAATCGGGAATAGCTATCCATTAAGCCTCATATCGGTTAAATAATAATTTACATTGTAGGCCATCAATGTTATGTCACCATATATATATATATATATATATATATAAAAAATTTGATTTATATGCCGCCCTTCTCCGGAGACTCAGGGCGGCTTACAATGCGCTAAGCAATAGCCTTCATCCTTTTGTATATTTATACAAAGTCAGCTTATTGCCCCCACAACTGGGTCCTCAATTTACCTACCTTAGAAAGGATGGAAGGCTGAGTCAACCTTGAGCCTGGGGAGATTCGAACCTGCAGTAATTGCAGGCAGCTGGTCTTAATAACAGGGTGTTTTAGACCACTGTACTACCAAAGCTCTTGGTAATTTACAATTATGTAAATGATTTAAGTTCATCCAATTGTCAGTTGTGATGTTATGATAAAAACTGACATGAATCACCCAGATTAATTTGACTAAAGCACATTGGGGTGTATGGGGTGCCTGGACAGAAATTTTGCCCCTTGTTTCTGAAGTGAAGTCTGCTAAACTATTCGTCAAATAGAAAGTTCAATAGATTTAGGAAAACGTGTAGCATGATACTCGATATTGTGAACTATTAGTGGGAATCCCTGGTGCTGGTTAGTTTGAGGTTATACCAGTTGTCTGAAAGATTTGATCTTAAGCCACACAATATCTTTGGAATGTAAAACATGCAGAAGATCTTTCGTACAGCATTATGCATCTTCAGTTAGAATTAGAAAATATTTCTCTGATTGAACTAGTCTGTGGCCATAATAAAATTATCTGAATGTATCTGAACTCAGGACAACCACTAGTAATTACTGTGTATTGTAAGCCAGAAAGGCAAATGATCCAAGTTGTAAAGTTAGTTTTCTAATTTTCTATTTCACAGCAAATACACTATTGAAACATTATCTACTTTCACAAGAAAAGAAAGGGCTACCTGCAGCAATTGAATGTATATGCATTCCCCCGTTTTCCCCAAATAAAAATTCAGAGCTTTAGGGGCAAGGGACTATTTCATTTTCCCTGCAGTTGTAAATCTGACAGCTCTGCGCAAATAAAAGGATAATTTATGGCTGCATAAATTGGGAAATTTGAGGAAAGCAAATTTAAAGGTCATTTTTGTTCCTGGTACCACATTTAAACTTCTTTGGATTCTTAACTGGATTTAAAATAATGCAACCTCTAACGTACTTACAAATAAAAGTCAAAGCAAGACTATATAAATATGCATGAAATTATTGAGACAGCCAAGAATATTAAGCATGGCTTCTTTGTTTCAGAGTCTCTCATATTTCAAGGCCACATAATATAATACATGCACACAAGTATTTTGCCTTTTCTTACTCTGAAATAAGGCTTAAATTAAAGATTACATCCTGATTAATGTAACAAAGATGGGACTTTTGGTGGTGGGTGGGTTATATTTTGTTTATTATCCACGTATATATTCCTCTTGGTCTGAAAAATGATACCATGATATAATGAAAGCAGGAATATTAAAAAAATTGCAGCCCAGTATTGGGGAAGAGCTGTTAAGAACCTCTTACCAGTACAGATAATAATGCCTGGACATCATATTTCTAGCCTTTAAAATTATATTTTATTTGTCTTGCCATAATTAGAACTAGTGCTGCTTCTTTCACCTAAATGTTTGTGCAGCTAAGAGAAATTTGTGTAAATAAAAGTTTTGTAGTTATGGAAATGACCAATATAATGTTCATTTGAAACAGATGTGACATACCGATACTGGGTGATGATATTTTATATAGGGAAAGGGGAAGAGGCACATTTTTGACAAACTCCATGGATGAAATTTATGATATCCAATCTGCCATAAATAAGACCCAAATTTCATTTTCTATCTTGGACATCCAGTAGCTCATCCCTATCATTTATACCTTCTAAGTATATTATTTTGTTTCAACCAGAACAGCTTTAGTATCACAACTGAAAGTATATGTACAGGGACAGCCCAAGAAAGTTGACATTAAATGAGGATCTGTTCTGTCCTGCTAAGTACTCTCCTATACCAATTTTTCCCTAGTAGCAGCAGCACTACTAGTCTGTATGTAACTGGCCACTACCCCATAGATACCACTGAGGGGTTCATCAGTTCTGATGTCACAATTCATTACTCCAATGACTCCTATGGAGTGACCCTCATACCACAACCAAAAAGCCTATATTTCTCTTTTCTTTGGGGGCAGTGAAGCAACAGCTCTGGTAAGGGACTTGGGACACTTCACTGGCCATCCTGATTGGTCAGTCACAGAAGATTATTGATTTTACCTAATAGTTGGTATAGCACTGTCATGCAGTTTTCAATACAAGCATAAAGTGGAAAAAGATAGTCATAAAATTATTGTAAAATTATGGAGAAAGATAGATGTTGCTTTGTATTCTGAAACAACAGATATGAATTTACCTGTAATCAAAGTGCAACACAAATATTTAATTTCAGATTATTAGAATCTCTTGCTGTATGATTTTTACATTGTTGAAATAACATTAAATGATTTCTCTATTCATATTGTAATAAATTTACATGGAAATTAGGCACACAGAACATTTATAAGACAGTTATATGTGGGCAATAGACTAATTATAGATGGTATTACATCTTACAGTATGCTTTAAATTTTGTGAACCCTTTTGAATTTTCAGAATTTCTGCATAAATATGATCTGAAACTAGATAGAGTGCCCAATTAAACATATTTGAAATATTTGACTCTAATTTCCCTTTCAAATGAACTGATGATCACATACTTTGTGATATGTAGCTTTCAATCATTTTTTTCAATAAAGATATGAAAAATATAATGCTTTTGACCTAGGTTTTTACCAAACTTGTAAACTATTATCTGTTTTAGGCAATTACTGTTCATTTCAAAATGACCAATTTATTGCCTTAAGGTAAGCTGCACTCTACTTTTAGGTTATATGTGTAATAATTCAAGAAATAATGCTGGAAGCACAAAGGCTGTGAATGCAAGTTACAAGAGCAACCTGTTTGTCTTCCCTGACAATGAAATGTGTTTATTGGATGACTTCTAAAATTTAGCAATTATATCATTCTTCTTGCTTATTGCATGTGACTCCAGCATTCCCTTATGGACAATATGTATCACTTGAATAGAGAAAATCTAATAAAAACATTGTGACAGGCATGTACCATCTACAATAAGTAAATCATGCTTAGGCAATTTGATTTCAATTGTCAATATATTAACAAACTGTGTTTCCTGAATATCAAAATGTGTAAGTATTCTTATGTGCCTAAATGCAGGTACAAAACTGACAATCAATCCAATGAGAAGTTAAAATTAGGTTTCATCCCTCCACCCACTTAAACAATGAAGAAGCAATTCTTTCAACTATATAATGTTTTTATATTTTCAGGCTTTCATATCGGACTGGTCAAGACACATCCAATTGTGACACATGTAGGAACAGTGCGTGTATAATCTATAGGTAAATAACTTTTCATGTTTCCGCTTTTCAAATTGGATAAAAATGATTTTATTCAGTAATAGAACCTGCATGCAAGCCACTGTTTTAAATTGGTATTTCAGCATGAATGCTCTTAAGAACAGGAAATTAATGTTTACTGTACTATAAAGCCAATTTATAAGGTATTTTAAGTACTAGAAAGAAGAGAAATGAGATGAGGATAGTGCTGTGCATTAACTTGTACAATAATAGAATAGAAATTTGCAGCAAGTACTTCATCAAAATATCTTTTTTTTCATTTAAATAACGTATTGATATCTACAATAATAAATTTGAAAACAAGTAACAGTGGAAATTATGCATACTCTGAACATTATCTTTTTTAAAAAGTACACATCATATACTTGCAATGTATACAGCCTAAAAATGGAATGTCTTAAATGAATGTGTGCAGAACTGGTTAACAAAGTTCCAGAAACATATTCCCCATGGTCACACAATTGCCATTTGGAACTTACGCTGCCAGCTACTGACAAGCAAAGTCAATGTGAGAAGCTGGCAGAAGGTCACAAAAAGGGGTCATGTGATGTCATTGCAGGATTTGCTTAATGACAGCATCCAGAAGTGCCATAACAACCATCACTTAAGCAGCACTGTCATGTGACATTGTGCTTCAAAACTGTGTTGTTTAGCAACAAATTCTGATCCCAATTTACATAGTTAACTGAAGACTACCTGTAATAGATTGTGTATCGACATGCCTTTGTAAATAATACCCACCTCCAGAAATCGGAAAAGTAGCAAGCTGGTAAAAGCATAGTTTTTAATTATTCTTCACAGAACTAGAATAAGTTGATAAATGTACCTAAATATGTATACATATATTGCCTAAGTAGCATTTAAATTACCTCATAGCGGTATATATTGTTATGTTTTATCATCTTTATAAGTGATGAGAATGCCGCACGTTATATTTGTTGAACAGTTTTCTGGAATAATTAGTGATTAAAATTTGTTATATTAACTGGGTAACTTATGGAGTAGTTGTTGCCAGAAATAATGTAGGATGTTTTAGGATACAAGGACTACATTTCTGAGTATTTTTGTGCCACATCTTGTGCTGTCTGTTTGCATAATCCATCAAGTATAAATTGGTGCAGTATCGATTGAGCTGCAGAGTCTAATGCCATCCTATTCATTCTCCTGTGTAATGCATGCCATTAATGAGATGAGGTGTTTGACTTCAAAAATTCTTAGGGAATAAATTGGCTTTAGGTGAATTTTACTCCATACTTTTCAATTGTGTATAAGCAACTAACGTTTTGGACTATACAACTGTCCTTTAGCAACTAAGTGTTGCATAAAGGTTTTTTAACTGATACAAGCTAAATACTGTGATTGTAAGAATCCTGAAATATTGTGCATGGAAAGCCATACATGTAATCCTCATGTTACAATGGCAGTTGGGGCTGGATGTGTCATTGCTAAGTGATGCAGTTATAAAATACATCATGGGTCCACATTGTTTAGCAATAACAGTTCTTGTTACTGAAACCAAGATGTGCAGGTCATTATGCAGGAAGTGGTAGACGTGGTAAAAGTAGCAAGGTTAGGAGGGCTTGTGGGGGGTGGGCTACAGGGAGTAGGGGAGGCCCTGGAAAATAGGTGCAGGCTATCTGAGCACAGGAAAGCCAAGAGAGTGAATGGCATAGCGGCACACGAGTCCAGAAATCCTGGAGTGGATGGCACAGCAGGGCATGAGCACAAGGATGGGGCGTGTAGGGCTTGGTATAAGCACAGTAAAGCGAGGGGACTTACAGTAGTGATTTGGAACCTTCCCTGATGGTTTCCTCATTGACTTTACTTGTGGGAAGCCAGCAAGGAAGGATTTAGTTGACAATCCTGCAAGACTCTGCAACTGTTGTGAGTATGACCAGTTGCCAAGAACCTAAATCAAGATAAAATGACTGCAAGGGTTCTGTGACAATGAGAACTTTGTGAATCAGTCTTAAGATATCACTCATTTAGCACTGTTGCAACTTCAAATGGTTGCTGAACAGAGGGTCAGTAAGAAAGGACTACCTATATTTATCGATAGATGTTCATCAGTGTTTCAAAATTCAGGAAGGAGTGAGTCCTTATCCTTGTCCTTTTAAAGAACTATCATTCCATGGACCCTATTTCCATCTTTCAGCAGCCTAAGATACTACATAGCTAAATTTTAGTGATATACTGTAGTTACTGTCAGTTTGTGGGCATGGGTGTGTTTTAAACAAAGATAGAAACAGAAAGGTTGATTCTTAGAGTTATTATTTTTTTCCATTTCTGTATAATTTCTGGAAAATGCTCCCATCTGCCCCTAAGTTCCCCATTTTGGTATGTTTTAAAGGTGGAACTGGGAATAGACCTTGGGAAGCAAATTGTTCTCATCTTCTTTTTACTCTCAGATAGTATTTAGACTTGTTGGGAGGAATTTAAGAGTAAAATGGATGCAGTTTACCTTCCAGAGACTTCCTGTTGCTATTCTTGTCCTAAAAAACCCATAAAACGGGATTGGAAAAATCAGCTCTTCCCTTTCAATAATGTTTCATATTTTCTGGAGGACCTTTGGAAAGTCAGGAAGCTGATGTGACTTCCAATCTCTCCAGTTTTGTGCAGCTATGCCCCACAAATGAGTCAAATCCTGTGCTACTTTAATAGCAAGTATTTTTTTTTCTTTACTCTGGAATAGCGACTATAATGATTTATACACTAGGTTCCTCTGTAACTATTTTCTGGCTTATACCAATTCTTTCCTCTTCCATTTCCATAGCATTTTCTTGGCAGATGCCATCCTCAGAAGTGATGTACTGATCCATTTGCTAGGGGATAGAATACACTAATCAAGCAGTTTTCTTTGTTGCTACATGTTCTTGTGTGAATGCTAAAAATAAACTTTTGACTTGAATGGTTGCTTGCGATCATTCGTCTTCACTTTAGAAGTGACAATTCTTCACTTATTGAATGAAGGACAGTCCATAAATTCATTATATGCATTTCTTTACCTCTGGAAAAGGCCCTCTTTCTAATGTCTAATGTCATAATGTCCACAAGTATATATTAAGGCTGTTGCAATATATTTCATTCACTGATTTTATCCATTCCTTTTTTCTCATTTTCTTTCCTACTATTTTATATGCTTAATAGTTTAAAGTTTCATTACAATAAAATCTTTGACATTTTATCCCAGTCTGAAAGTGACTTACATAAACTATACTGTAAATAAATTCAGAAATATACCCCATCCATGCAAGCTCTTAGGTTTATTTATTCAGATAATTATGTTTTAAAAATAGGTAAAATTCTTGGTGCATTATTTTTATACATTGAAATAATAATTATAAATTAAACATAGGGCAGAATGATTGGCAGACACAGTTAGCTGACCCAACCGTATTGGAAATTCATAGTACGCAAGTAAATGTAACCATATCCTAATTAAGTTGGGAATTCAAATATTTCCTTAACAAACCTATTTCCTTTTTCTATCAAGCAGTGGGAGTTAAAAACTGATTGAGGAAGCTCAAACTTTGCGGTTCAAACTTTATCCTACTGGAAGAATCTGTTTCACCCTATATATATATATATCAGCCATCTCTCATGTCTATTTTCCCTGCTTTTTTCATTTAGACAGTGTTTTCTCTGGCTAGGAATATGTAAACACATCTAAATTTGATCCACATTAGCATCAAACATATTCTTTCTGCATGTTTTTTCATACAAAATCTTTTTAAAAATATGCTGTTCACTTTATCCTAACTGCTTGTTTTTAAAGCATATTTTAATAGATGACAATAATTAGCAACCTCCATTCACGGCTGCCAGAGCAGGCCATTGTTTATATCCTTGCATCACCTTATCCATGCTTTTCCTAGGAATATATTCATTGTCACGTCTCCTTTATGATCGTAATTGCACAACTGCTGAAAGGAAAGTATCTTTCCTTTGGCATTGTAATATTAAGGAAAGCATTAAAGAGGAAGATGGGCTATGAGAGTGGGGAGTTGTTCCCCCCAAAACAGTTGCTTTTCTCCTTTTTACTCTCACTCTTCTATACACATGTGTACATGCACACATGTTAAGAAAAGTATATTCATTCAGCAGAAGAAAAGTAGAGATCCAGGAAGAAATGTAATAATATACTTCCTTGCCTTAATGAAAAATAGATGGTGAGGTAGCATAAAGCATGGAATAAGTCTGTAGAACTACTGTTTGCCAACAACTACCGGTATTATATTTCAAGCCAAGTCAGTTACATTGAAGCCCATAAGCAATAACATTCTTGAAAGATCGTATGTAGGAATTCCTACATAGAACAGAGGTAGTATATGTTTATAAGTCATGTAAGTGAACCCCTTTAAACTGATTTTAATGAAACACAGGTACACATAAAAAACCCAAACATCCTAGGCTAATAAAACTTTTACTTTCAGAACTATCCAACTATATCTTCATGCCATGAACAGCATAACTGAGGAAGTGGAATTCAGAAATCATTACATGCAATTATTTTTAAATCAAGATGGCATCATGGATTCCTCATTCATGTTACATGGAACAGTAGCTAAAGTCCAATTAAAGTGCATAATTGATAGAATATTGGGATTTCAAGTATTTAAATTTTTATAGTAATATCCTATTATTTGGGTAAAATGTTATTTTTTTTTTTATACGGGAACTCTTGTTTTCTGCTTTTCCTGAAAATTAGTTGGCAATTATGGTTTTGGATGCTGCTACTGAGAGAGGGAGAGAAAGGCACGTCAAAATCGTGGATTTGGTGGGGTATATTGCTGGAGTTCAGTGTTTAGTGGTTTCTAAGGTATAAAAAATATAGTACAATAAAGTAATTAAAACTAAACATGGGGTGGAAGAATCTGGAGTTTTCAACAGTTCGTTAAATTACCAATGATGGTTAAATGATGTCTGTATGACCAGTAGCGAGTGATAATAGATTTATGGTTCAGCAACATCCGAGGGTCGCT